AACATGTATGAATTTATGCACATTCACTAATCTTTAGGTCACTTCAGATCCTGCAAAAGTGAAGTCCTGTAGTTTGTTCCATTCAGCTGTACCAGGCAGTTTTCTGCTATCATATTTTCAAGGTCTATTGCAAGGATAAAATACTAGAAATAGAAAAGAACCTTTCCTAAAAACCAAAATCAGAAGCACACTTGGGGTTTAGGGGGCTCAAGAGCCAATGAGAAAATCTGTGGGTTTTCTATCAACAGGTTACTCCCATCCATGAAGTAGGAATTGGCTCTCTCTTCAGATGCACAACTAATGAACTTTGCAATGTGTATATATTTTGTTGCATATATGCAGCTCAGACAGGCTACTCACTCTCTGTTTCCTAGCCATGAAGATGACATGAACCTAGATCCTCTGTCATAGTTGCAAATATTGCAAGGGATTCCGGCTTGTCTTTGGTAGCCTTGGTAGATTTACAGAAAATAATTATTTCTCCCATTGGCTCATCCATTAGGCTGCAGAACTATGCACATTTTGGCGCTCAGTCAGTTGGTTTATTCACTCCTTGATTCAACCCATCGTGTAGCTGTGCAGCTCTCCAGACATACCTTGCTTTGTAATTGTGATGTTAGCTGGCACTCTTGGATGTGTTGATGAGCATGATACATTTTGGTGCAAAGTGTGAACCAACTTTTCCTTGACACGAAGCATATGTTCTGTTTATTCCTGGTAAGCTGTCATCAGATACCTCATTTTGGTCTGGTCCTCTGTTGAAATCCTGGCTTCCTTTTTTTTTTTTTTTACTGTCTTCTAAAGGATATTACTATAGTAAAATGCATATAAGGAGTTTGGGTTGGCCTTTTCTAGACAATAGGAGCATGTTTGTAATATAATGAAAGGAGCTGATGAGATGTCAGGAAATGTAGAGTTGTCCTGGGACAGAGATCAACCCTACTAAAAAGCTAGCTGGAGAAGGAAAGCTTAAGCTGAACTTCACATGGCAGTGCTATTTTAGCTGCCAAAAAAGAGAACCACTCCAGGAAGAGAGTTACATTTGGGCACTAACTGAGAGGGTAGGTATGCTGTGCTGGAGTGGAGGAGGATTGTCCATTCACAGTGACAAATGGTATCGTGTCCCTGTGAGTAGCAGCTTGCAGCTGGCAACGTGACAGTTTCTTCTTTGCTCAGGAGTTTTGTCCAGACTCTGTTTCTAGGTAAATGTAATGAATTGTTTGACTGTTTCCAATAATCAGAGATTCTGAATTTATTTTGCAGTTACCTTGGCATAAATGCAGATAAATAGGTAGGCTAGGCAAATAGACAGTACATCTGGAAAAAGCTTCTTAACGCTAAGCATATGCTCCTGTTTGTCTCTCCTGGTAAGCTGTCATCAGACCAGATGGGTCTGGTCCTAGGTTCAAATCCTGGCAAGTACATATATGGATGTACTTGCGTGGGTAAATAGATAGATGAATTATAGGCAGGGCAATAGGATGATCCATCAGTAGAAAAGTAGCTAGGAATCATAAATGAAAAGGTAGATAAGACGGTTGGTAAGTGGATGAATAGACTGACAGGTGGATAGGATGTTGGATGGGTAGATACAGCTAGATGAAGAGATTGATCTAAAAACCAATTTTTCATGTTCTTGGTGACTGCCTCAAGTAATCAGCTTCAGTTTAAAAATAATAAGACTTTATATTTGTTTGATGATTTTAGTGTGTCTTCAAGTCTCTGGGATGCAGCTAAGACACAGATAACTCACTAGAGCCAGGAGATAGCTCAGCTCAATTACACTGCTCATTTCACTATTTGAATTGCAAAGGGGAAATAAAAAACTCCCTTTCCTCTGTGTGGGTGGTGTTTCTTTTTTCCGATGTTTCCTCAGCTCTGCAGTTGCCTTCATCGTTGAAATACTATTTCACTTGCCTGAGAAATTTGCTGGCTGCAGGTTTCAGCATGTAGAATCGTTCGTTTGATTAATTTTCTCTTACCTCTGCCATGAGTTAGAGTCACGCTTCAGTGTTTGGGCCACAGAAGGCCATATTTTCTCTCTGTCTCAGTGAGGGATAGACTGATATAGCCTTAACTGTTTATTATCAGAAAGTACGTTGGATGTATTTGCAGTCTGTCAGCTTGATTCCCCTCTCACGCTGATTCTCTAAAGGCTTATGTGGAAATAAATCTGATTTGTGCTGGCATCAGAGAAAGAAGAATCAGGCCTTGTCTTGTAAATGAAGTTATGGGCCAGATCCCCAGGTTCCCTCCTCAATCCTGATGGTACCTCCTTGTAGTCCTTATGGAAACCTTACTTGGGCTCAGAGTACACGGAGAAGACTTTGTACCATCTTCACAGAGGGATAGTGATGGAGAGAGGGGAAAACAGAATGAAAGAAGAGAGACAAGAGAAGATTAAAAGAAGAATTTAATTAAAAACCAATGCATGTGTTTTTAGACACATACACACATGTATGTATACACATGTCCTTATACAAGCACAGACACATGCACATAGGGGCAGAAACAATCAGGGTCTCTAACTAGGAAAGACTACCTGTGAAATAATGAAGCAAATGAAGAATACCTGTGAAATAATGAATGCAAGGCAGGGGTGGGTGAAAGGGTAGCTAAGAAGTGCGATGTCTCCCGTAACAGAAAGGCACACGATATGGAGTTCAGAAATAAAAATGACCTTAAGACAGCACTCAGCAGCACTGCTGGGGTTGAATCTGCTTATTTGCGGAAGAAGCATGTGCTTTATTCCTGTCCTCTGTGCTGGCTTTGCTCAGGAGGGGCTAGGCACTACTTGGCTCCTTTGTGCTATATTTCACTGCCCAGTGCTTAACCAGAGAGGCCCAACACCAATATAGGAATGTGCCCTATGTTTGAAAGTTATTGCTCAATGCAAAGTGGCCTTTTTTCCTCCTAGTGTTTGTAACAGAGAGAGAGAAATATTGTCGTCTTTGAAATATTCACACCAGGTGAAGTCCACCCTTTTTTGTTAATGACCTTCATGTATTTTCATGTGCTGAATGCCCCCAGCAGCAGCCAAGAGATAAGAGGATTCATTTTAAACTCTGTTACTAGCCGCTTCTTCAACAATACCCCAGAATGTTTCATGTTAACTGGGGTTATGTCCTAGAATACAAATCACTTGGTTTCCTTTCCTGGCTTCTTAGGTGGCCTTGGGTTAGTCACTTAACTTCTTTGCGCCACTCCAAAATAGAGATAATGAGACACTTCCATGATCTGAACCAAGCCCCTAGCTCATGTATGCTGCCCACACAACGGGGGGTTCTGCCCATAAAAATACAGGGAGTTTGCTTAGAAAAAACAACACGTTTTCAGGGCTGTTTTCAAGACCTATCAGGGAATGGGCTGGCAGAATCCAGAAGCAATAAAATGTGTATTTTCCTATAGCTTATTCCATAATATAGAAATATATTCACTTCCTACTCTATTGCAAGGATTCAAGTGATTTTCACAGCAATTTCTAAGGCTGTGTGGATAGGGCCTGATCTACAGTGGGTTGAATCATGTAATTCCAACAAGGTGAATTTAAGTCCGTCCGATTTGCGCTGCCAGAAGATGTGTCCCTTTATTTTGTTTGAGGGAGTTGATTCTGTCATGGTTGATGGGCTCATTCCAGCCCAGAGACTTTCAGTATGATACCAGTGCCCCAAAGTAGTTGCATGCTCACAATTCAGAGATTAGAGAAATCGGGCCTGATTCTGCTCTCGGAGCAGTGTAAATCAGGATTAAGCCCAGAGAAATCAGGGTCTGATCTCCCTTACACTGTTGTATTAAGGTAAATGAGAGGAGAATCTAGTTTACCCCTGGAGAGCAAGGGTATGGATGGATGCAAGACCCAAGATAAATTAGGTCTTTGTTTTTGCAGCTAAACTATTACTGGTGCCTGAACTAGGCCAGGTCTTGCAACACTACAGCACTGTCACAGGCTGCGATGTGGACATGCCCAGAGATGGAAATTGGATCCAGTGGCTTCACTGCTACCTGCATTGGGGGAGTCAGGCAGGCCAGATGCTATTTCAACCCTCTTCTCCTTCCTGACCGAAGAAGTTTACTTGGCTTATAGGTGTCATCTAGTCATGAGGACAGGAGCCTCAAGGGCTCCCAGGGCCTTATGCAAAGAATTTGTGCTTCTCCTATTTATATGGGCCTCTGGCCAGAATCAGTCTCTCCTGCCTTAATTGGTGATTGTGATGAGCCCTGTCAAACTGTAAAATCATGGAACTGAAAACAGCTGGTTGTTTTTGTTGGGTTTTTTGCTTTAGTTTTTCTTTCTCCCTGGATCCCTGTAGGGGAATTTATCTGCAGGGAGATGGGAGGAATGCAGTGTGAGTCGGATGGATCAAGATGGGTTGAAAATCAGAAGAGAACAAAAAATAGTAATTGCTTGCCCTTCCCTTGTGTCTTCTCTCAAAAGCACTTACAAAGGTTAATGATGTCTACCCTGCCAGCATGGTGTAAAGGGGGTACATTGCAAATGAGAATCAGTAATCCTCCTTTGTGGGAGGTCACTGTACTGTTAGCCCCGTTCTAGAGCAGGGGACACTGAGACAGAGACCCAAGGGAGTGACTCCCTCAGGATCATAGAGAGCACATGTCAAGGCTGGCATAGAGCTCCACATCATCTGGGTCTTAAATCCATGACCACCCTTCATCTCCCGTCTGTCCCCTGCCCTGGAAGCTTCCCTCTCTGTTGTCAGTGCAGTACAAATGGGGAATGCCCACTATGAAGTTCCCTTACCCATGAGAAAAGCAGGTCATGACAGCATGGGGCAAGTTCCCATTGCTCACCACACAGGTCCACACATCCAATTGGTTATTGTTGGCAGCAGGATCCTGTACTTAAGGGATTAATGGTCTGCTCTGATATAGCAAATCATTGTTCTTACCAAGGAAGCAAGCACGAGTGGTCTAATATACTGTAGTATATATAAAATACAATATATACAATATACTGTAGGTCTAATATTAGGTAGTCCTAGGAGTCTAGTTGCAAGCAGTTACTTCCTTTTCCCTCAGGGCTTTGGAAAGCACGTTCCTCTTTTTCTGATCCTTCACTCCGGTGTGTGGGGGTTTGGAGAAGGGCAGGGAAGCAAGCTGGGAGTACCATCTCTTAGCCTGGCGGCAAAGGGTTGGGGTTGAACTTCACTGAGGCCTGATCGGGAAACAAGTAAGAAACAATAGCCAAGAAAATTCAAAAGGTGGCAAGAGTGAGCACATATAGAGAAAGAGTGACTTGCTCTGCCTTGCTCACATGGGAATTGGTGACCTCTAGAGCAACTGTTAGTGTGTGCATCCCTCCTTGGTGAGCCTACAACTAGCTGGGACTCTTTCTCTTCAACAGATTAGGCTAATAATGTACCCTGCCTCATGTGTGACACCTATATTGTTGGGAGGTGAGGTACCTTTCTGCCCCTAGAGAACATCTGATGAAGCTTTTAAGTGGGAGATCCTTACCTCTAAAGTATCGGGCCCTTCTGAAATCCAGCTGTGTCCCTGCTCTGCTATCAGTGATGTGCATGGACTGCACAGGGCAAATTTTGTAATATCAGCAGTCACCATTGTGATTCGTGCTCCAGATGGAGCTGGCTCCTTGGCCTGCAAGGATATCGGAGTGGCTGCTGAATGAGCCTCTCATATGCTATTACTCAGCCATTGATTATGTCATGTAATTTATGGTAGCTCCTCATCCCACGCTCAACACAGAATCCCATCAGCCCATAATAGATTGTATTTTTTTGTTAGCAGATGGGAGAGCGCCTCATTGCTCTTTTCACGCTAGCTTTTGCCAGCTGACATTCTTGATACATCAGCTCCTTATGGAGGCCACTTAACCCCTGCACCGTGCTCCTCATGTAGTAGTTACCTTGTGATGAAAGCCCGGCTGAAAGGAGGTCGAACACAGTACATGATTCCTCTGGACGTTGGGCTTCATTAACTGGGAAAAGAGTTGAGAGCAGCTGATTAAAAGCACACAGCAGCCAGCGGTTCACAGGCTGGAAACTCGGTAATTGCGGAGGATGGTTTAAAGCTGCTACCAATATTTGCTCTGCTTTTGGGTGACTGGTTGCAGCACAGGGGTTGATAGATTTGTTTTTAGGTGGGTACTGCCATTCCTCAGAGAGATTGTGTAGAACATACCCAGCCAGATCCTGCCTCCTGGACGTTTTCCCCAGGAAATCCTTAGGGGTCACAAAGGCAGCAGAGTGACTCCTTTGCCATCCCTTCCCTTCCCAGTCCCAGTGATGGGCAGCCCTTTTAGTACCCGCTCTAAGTCAGTGTCTAGAGTTGTTGCCTCTCTTGCCCCTCTCCCCACCCAGTTACACTACTGGATCACTCCAATGTCTGCAGATAAAAATGACTGAAGACAAACCATATCATTATTGTGCTGTGTCCAGTGGATATTTTGAATCACTGGCAGTAAGAATTCCTGGTGGCATCCCATTTTCATAAAGTAAGAAGGGAGTTACTTTTATTAGCATATCAGCCAGAGCTAATAGGAAAAGGATGGGTAAGTAGAGGAGGAGCAGGAGATGAGGTAGAAGCATGGAAAGAGAAGGGAAGAAAGGTGGGGAAAGTTGGGGGTATGGAGGGCAGTTAAGAAATAAGGTAGAGTGTATGGAAAGCAAATATGGAAAAAGTCATAAGTACCCATTTATCTTCCTAATGCAGGGGCGCGCAATTATTTCAGGCAGAGGGCCGCTTACTGAATTTTGGCAAGCCATCAAGGGCCGCATGACAGGTAGCCAGGGGCAGATATATTAATTTTCTAAATTATTTTAGGGGCTGCATCCAGCCCCCAGACTGCATTTTGCCCACCCCTGTCCCAGTGCCATCCTTGTAGCTTCTTCACCCAAATCCTACTCCACGGTTCTGAGTGTTAAAAGCACAGCAAAAGGTGAAGGGGCTTCTCCAAGACCATGCTACTGGGTCTCTCAGGCGAAAGGCAGAATAAATCTAGAGGAGAATAAAGTGTCCCTGAATTCCTCTTATGAATCACACACTCTGAAGGCACAAAACCCGCCCCCCTAAAGTCTTTAGAAATTCATTCTCTCCTCACTGAGGTCCATGGCCAAACTCCTATTGACTAATGGTGCCTTAGGGACTCAAGTTATCTGGCCAAAAGGTCACTTCTCTGCATCTGAGTATGACCCCATTTATTGTCCTTCCTTAGAGTCTTGTGAGTCTAAGGAGTACTGAGAGATAGTAGTTAACTGTGTTAGTTGGAAGTCCAGATAGCTTTGTACCTTATAGACCAACCAAATCAAAGATGTCTAGCATAAGCTTTTGTGAGCCCAAGCTCACTTCATCAGATGCTATGAAAGGACATGCACAGAGCAGTGCATCTAATGGAGAGAGAGATCTGAATGCAGGAGACAGGGAAGGGTGGGGAGAGGGGAAGTACTCTACATTTATAGGTACTCTACTTTCACACTTTGCCTATTTTATTGGCCTCCAAAGTAATTTCTACATGAGGAGCAATAATAAAAACATACATCAGTAATAGGCAGGGAGCTGAGGACCTATGCTGGGGCCCTGTCACAGAATGTAGGCTGTAACAAACTAAAAAAAGAGACTTGGAGCTAGGTGGGAGTTAGTCTATCATTCAGGACCCAATATAATTTCAGTAGTAGCCAGTGCACTCTAGCGGGGATTTTCTACCACACACCTGGCACAGATCTTTGAGAGACTGTTTAAAAGATACAATCAAATAAGATCAAATAGTATTGGTTACCTAATGCATCACACTGACTTAGATACAAAGTTTTTCTGTTGCTTTCCTGTTGCAGCTGGCATGTTGCCACTGCTGCCTGATGCCCATGCAGAATTCCCTGTAATCAGCTGTGAGTCATTAACACAAATGAAGTAACAGAGAGAGGCCTTTTCCACGTGATGGGGCTGAGGATGGCTGGTATGGATTCAAAATTATTATTCCACATTTAGATCCTGCAGGACAGGAGCCTAGCAGAGTCAGGAAATGGCTAGACACGGGAACATCCACGAGTGTGATTAGGTCAGAAACAAAGGGATATATAAATCTTCATGCTTCTGGGTATGACCTGCTCTTCATTCACTGGAGATTAGATGGTGATTAGGTGGGGTTTTTTCATGATTGGCCACTGGGGCCTTTCTTGTGCCTTCTTGTACTGCAGCTGGTGCTGGTCAGCTTTGAAGTTAGAGCCCTGGGTTAGATGGACTGTGGTCTGATTTGCAACAGCAAGTCCTATGTTCTGCCTTAAAGCAAGTACAAATCAGTAGTAACCCAGATGGATTCAATGAACTTAAATTGGAGTGGAACTAGTGTAAGTCAGAAGAGAATCAGAATCTTGTGTGGTTGTATCAGGATACAAAGCTGCTGTAGCCGCAAATCTTTATTGCATGTCAGCCTAAGTCCTGGCAGATCTTATTAAAGCAAAGAAATAGAGGCTGATTAAAGCAAAGAAATAGAGGTTGGAAAAGAGGCATGCTTTCCAAGATCCCATGCAGTCTACTACCATAAAGCAAAATGGCTGTCTTAAAGCATTTTTTTTTTAATTAGGATGGGGGAGTCTGATGAATAGATTGAATTAATGATTTCTCATGTGCAAAATTCTGAATGGCAGAAAACCATTCAGAAAAGGAAAGATAAGATTTTGCCTGGCATCTAATGTGTCTAATATAATTCAATTTTAGGATTAGCTTTTGCCAGCAAAGAGATCATTGAAATATGTAATGATCATTTGATTGATTTGGGTTCGGCTGTCCCTGGATCTCGCGCATTCCATTAATGAGATCACACCTCAGCACTGGCTAATGGATTAAGGATGCTTCACTGAACCAAACTGAGTCTAAATTTGAATTGCTGGAGTAAGAGACAATAATGTCAGGCCTGCCAGGCCTGGGTTATTACATTTGGTAAAAATGAGAAAGCTGAGTGACATTTCTGTCTGCCATTTCTTTGAATTTTAGTACTTGTGAAAAGGAGAGACTGATAGCCAGAGACACGGATATTGAGGGGGCTGCCACAAGTCTCTCTCTGACAGCTGCGTCCAGGCAACTTGATCCTCATGTACAGCCCACACCCTTGCTATTCTGGGTCTGCTAAAGCAGTGTTTCTCAACCCATGGGTTGCAATCCAAAAGTGGGTCACAAGAATATATGAAAGGGTCGTGAACAAACTTTAAAAATGGATTCTCCATTAAAGGAGAAAAAAAGTGGGAAGCCATGGCTTTTCCCTTGCAGGCTAGCAGAGTTTCTGCTAGGGGCTGCCTGGGGACACATACCCCCCTTACCCCATATACCCACCCCCTGGCCCACACACTGGGGTCAAGACTGGCCATTGATGTTTAAGAATGGGGCCTGGTACAAAAAAAAAAGTTATGAACCACTGTGCTAATGCACCTCAGTCCTGACAAGAAGCTCCTTGTGCTGTTAGAGGACTTGGTCTGCCCAGTGCATTTCAGTAGTGATCAGCTGTTCAATAGGGGTGTCAAATATGCAGCCTGCAGAGCTGCTGTGTCTAGCCTGCTGGACTACCAACACAACAGCAGAAGTTGAGGGGTGTGACTGGGGGGTGCGACCTGCTGCTAACACAGTCACCCTCCTGCTGCTTTGTGTGTCACCACTGCTGCGGCCCTAACTCCCCAGCTGCCAGCCCCCACTGCATGCCCTGTGCAGGAATGGGAGCTGCCGCTGCTGCTGCTGCTTTGTGCTCCAGGCTGGATCTGGTCCACAGGGAGCCCGTAGGTGATGTGTAAGTACTGACAGTGGGGTGGGGGCACAACTCTGCATCACTGCTGCCGCTCCCACTGCTGCTGGGCATTGGGTCCGGCTTGGCTGCAGCCCCACACCCAGCCATTAGCGCAGAAATCATGCCGCTGCCACCACCCCACTGCTGCCAGACTCAGGCTCTAACCACGTTGCAGCCTTGTGCCCTGTGTCCTGCTGTCAGCACAGAAATCTGGGGAGGCACTTGCTCCCCACCATGCCCATACAATGCATCATGTATGAGGCAGCCTCACAATCCAGATCCAGCCAGGGGCACATGGTAAGTTTGAACCCCTGAGCTATACACCACCCCCTAGCTCTTCCTGTAGTAGACTTTTTGCGCACAATAAATTGTCAGTCATGTTAAAGAGACCTTGTGCTGTGTACAATATGACCTGCCATCTCCTGCGACTCAGTCTCTAGCATCCTGAAGCCTTGTTTACACAGGGATATTGTGCTGATCTGGTTGGTTAAGTGGAATTGCAGTGATTTAACCACATAAATCTGAAGTGCATTCACACCACATCCTTAGTGTGCCTTGAAGCACACACTGTGTTAATCACTTTGCTCTTGTGCTTGCTTAAACTACCTGAAGCTTTGCCATGCAGTTCTGTGCTTTGTGACTTTTGTGCTTTGTGGGAAACCTCCCAGAAGCTCCAGGAGTTTGTATCTGGGGAAGAAGTCAATGGACAACAATGATCCCTTCATTAATGTTGCTGGTGCCCTTTTGAAACTGCTGACAAGCAGCACGGAGGACACACCTTTGTGAATGGGAGCATTAACAGAGGCCCTAGCCTGGTCTTCTGTCTTCAGGTCCTTTTGCTGGAGATCTTTTGCTGGAGATCTTTTGCGACCAGCTGAGAAAGTGACCCCTTGCCTTCCCTTGCTCTCGTAGTGTCTTGGTGATTTCTCCAGAGGGGACTTTGCATACAGCTGTCAGAAAGGGCACTCAAGTCCAGTACATCAGGAAGCATCCAGGGAAGGGACATGACTGCTATACTGAGAATGTGAACTCATTACTATTACCTGGTTCTGAAGAGGAGCCCGCTAGCATTTAAACTGAGAGATCATTTCTGGTTACGACGATCTCAGAAGCGTGGAGGACAGCGAGGTACAAAGACAGGTCAACACAGGTGTGAAGCAACACAATGTGGTATTGTAATTGGGTGACTGCCAGAAGCAGAGCAGTTGTAAAAGTGCCCATGCAAACTACAGCAGACAAATTCAGTGCAAGTGGAATTGCTCCTGTTTCCAGAAGGAGTAGTTACTGTCACTTAAGCCACTAGATAATTCCATTTAAAAACCAGCTGTGTACGGTGAGAGGCACTTTTAGGTGAGCAAACTACACATTTCTGCACATGGTTTGCATGTAGGGAAGGCGCAAGGCAAGCTTAAGACAGCAGCAGTAGCCAGCAAAATGCAAGGAAATCAAACGTTGACTGGATAGTAGGGAGGTCACGTGATTTATATTTGATTGAAGCTGCTGTATATTGGGAGTCAGAATAGTTCAAATTTAAAACACGGGCCTGTGTGCTAAATTCTGCTCCCAGCTCTGGTAGGAACTGATTTCGAATGACTAGATCAAAGGGAATGAGTTTCATTCTCACTTTGGGAAGTGAGTGTGGCCTTGGTGCTCTGAGCACTGGATTGGGAGCTGCAGCTCCTAATTTCCCGTTAGCCCTAGGAAGAAGTGCAGTGTTGTATTTACCCTTGTCTTTTGTGTCTCAGTCATTTCTGACCCATCGTAGCACTTTGCTTCCCATCCCCCAATGATTTCATTTAATTTACCTGTGAGACTCTTTGTTAAAGGCTATTAGAAAGTCCAAATATATTTTGTCCACCACTTCCAACATAACCACTGTTTTGTCAACACATTGACCTAGCTTTGTAATTTGCTTTGGAGACGTTGAGTGCCATTAATTGTTAACAACTATTATAAAATCTCATGTAAGTGTGTGTGATCACCAGCAATCAACTCAGACAAAGAGCTCTGATTATTAAAGCTCCCCGATTTCATAGCAAAAACAATCAGTGATTGCTGGAGGGGAAGGGAAAAAGAGAAGATAATTGGAAGATAAAGCAAAAAGTAGGCTAGGTAAAAAAACAAGGGTCCTGAAGGAATTAGAGTGAAAATCACAGGGTGTCAACATGATCTCTCTGCTGTCATAATGAATTACATGACAGCCAAGCTCATTCTCAGGGAGACAGCACAGCTCTCCCGAGCTCAGAGAGTGAGTGGGGGAAAGCTTGTTAATATGTAAATGAGAAGAGCTTGACCTAATAAAAGGAAAACAGAAGAGAAGAAGCTATATGTGTTCCCCTGCCCTGCAGTAACACCAGTCACTTCGGAGGCTAATAGTGATGAGCAAATTTCTTGTAAGTGGAATTAATCACCCATTACCAAAGTGGCTTATAACTGTGGAAGGAAACGAGTTAACCTCGGCAAGCGGAGAGCAGGGAACGTGATTGTCAGCTTGCGTAAATCTCTGCCGCACCATTGGAGCTGAGAATCTAGCCCTGGATTTTCTTGTACGGAGCACTGTGTAATAATAAGAATAAGGGAAACAAATTCAGCCCCATCCTCTGCAAACTCATCCCCTTTGAAGTGAGGGGATATAGCTTTAGGAAATATCTTCCATCCCAACAAAGTGTAGACATGCAGCCCCACCATCTTGATATCATCTCTGCGTAGGTATGGAACCAACAGATATGCAGCATCAAAGCAGGGAGGAAAGGAAATTTTGGCCAACGACAAGGAAAGGCATACTGATCACGTAGAGCAGAAAGGATTTTTCACCCACTCGGGGGAAACTATTTTATAATGCTATATCCAAAATGTTTCTGTACATTCAGTGCTCCATGACAGTCTTGTAATACTATATTACCAGCACATCGCTTTCATGACAAGTGGTCTTAAGTTAAAAACATTGAGCACACTAGTAAAACCCATGCTGGGGCAGCCACTAGTTAGAATGCTGCTAATATAGTGCATCTCCTTTAACCTAGTCCCAATGCAAGGCAGCATCAGCTCTGAGAATGAGCTTCAATCCAGTGTGACAATTAAATCCATGCCTTCCTGGCCAGGAAGTAAGGCTTGAAAGTAATGGAAGCATAGTGACACCTAGTGAGACCTGGACAGAGAAGCAAAAATGAAGAGAGAGACAGACAGAGAAAGAGTAAACTTCTCTGGGGACTGATTCCTCTTTCATTCACACAAGTGTAAATCAAGAATATACCCACTAAAGTTATTGGGGTACAGTTCATGTGAGTTAACACTCAGCCTCTTGATATCAGTTGCAAATCAGATCTAAACTGATCTGAAGCAGCTTTCAATGATACAGCAATGTAACTTTTACAGACCTGACTGGATGACAGTGTTGAGTTTGACGCAGTATATGGTAGCATGATTTTTGAGCCAGAATATCACCTGGTTTGAATCAGTATAGTGCTGTTGACTCCAGTGAAATCATGGCTATTTTCACCAGCTGAGAATGTATCCCTAGCTTATTGTACTGTCTGCATTACATACCCTAACTATACGCTTCATTAAGGTGGTTTTATATTGTGCCTGGGCTCAGCCACGATGCAGTTTCAGATACAGAATGTTTGGTAAAGCCGTGCATGCTTACTTCTTTGTAAGAAATATTTAACTGGACACATAAATCCAAGATTTCCAGTGAGACAGTGCTTGGAACAGCAAAGCTCTCCCCTAGCCTGTTCAAATCAGTAGCTTTGTTAATATTTACTATTTTTCAGTGGTATCTGGGGGACTTTAACTTGTAGAAACTTGTAGAAACTTGTATAAAGCTATAGGAATCTCACCTAGGCATTTAACAGAACACATTGGGGGTACTGCAGCCCTCTTGGGAAGAAGAATGGTGATTCATTTGGACTGTGGCTGGGCACAGCTCCTAAAGTTTTCAGAGCTTAGATTCACTAGGGTTGACATTAGTCCAGTGTTTTCAGCTTTGTGCCATAAACTCTTTTTTTCTCTTTCCTTCTCCCCCTCTCCTATTTCCCTTGTTCTCCAAAATACCCTCTGTCCCTCCCTCGCCCTTGTTTCCTGTTCTTCTTCCTCTGCCACAGGCTGCCAAGCTTCCAATGTCCATAATCATTGTGGGAGTTGGACAGGCTGAATTTGATGGTAAGGACAGACCATTCTCTGACTTCTCTTGCTTAAAATGTGTAGAATCAAAGTCTAGCTGGAAGCACAAGCCTAGGATTCATAATCAGCCCTTCACTCTGCCACAAAGAGCCTGTATGACAGGGGTGGGCAAAATGCGGCCCGTGGGCCAGATGTGGCCTGCCAGGCCATTCTGTCCGGCCCCTTGGGCCCCTCAGAAATTTAGAAAATTAATATTTATCTGCCCCTGGCTGCCTGTCATGCAGCCCTCGATGACTTGCCAAAACTCAGTAAGCGGCCCTCCACTTGAAATAATTGCCCGCCCCTGCTATATGACCTTATCTGAGTGGCATCCTTTCCCCGTACCTCGGATCTCCATCTGTCAACAGGAACACTTCCCTTCTTCACTAGGGTGTTGCATTGTTTAATTCATTCATGGCTGAAAAATGCTGAGACACCCACGAAGAGACCACCTGAGCAGATAAAACATGCCACATCACTGCATCCTGGTTCGGATCCTTAGCTGGTGTAATTTGGTACAGCTCTGTGAGTCGGGAAAAGCTTGTTAATCTGTAGATATGCAGAGCACGGGAAGTGCTGATTCCAGCCTTTGTAAAAGGTATTTTTTGTCGGGTTCATCCTATAAGAGACTCACATTCCCTGAAGATACTTCAGGACTCCCCAGTTTGTAAGGACAGGAGTCCTTCATCTTCCCACTAACCATTTTTCTTGATACAAAACCCTCCGGGTAGAAATGTCTCCCTCCCGCTCTTCAGATCCATTCTGCAGGCCCTGTTTTAGGTAAAAGAAGAATTCCCTAGTCTGGAGAGTGGCTTGTGAAAGGGCTAAGAGTTTTGAATGAACTCGGGGAAGGAAACAGATGGCAAAAGGCGAACACAGCAGGAAGGCCCCCACGCAGCAATTACAGGAACGCTGCCGAAGGCTACAGCTGGTGCTCAGGCACTCCATGTTTACACAGCAACCCTTCCAACAAATAGACAGCAAATAAATGGGTCTTGCTAGAGCGAGTTCCCAGGTCTAGAGAGCTGCTGCTGCCTATTTACACTGCAGCATGGAGAGAAGCAGCAGGAGGAAAACAGAGAAGCTAGACAGTGAACAGCAAAGTAAACTTGGGCCTAGAAAAGCCAAAGAATTAGGTGACAGCCTGACATGAGTGACCCAGACCAACTGGTCAGGCAGAGTGACCCTTGGATGCATCACACAGGATCCAGAATAACAAAGGGGGTGGTGGAAACATTTGTATTTAACACTGTTCGCTGTCCTGGGATTAGGGACTGCTGTCTGCTTCTGCCAAATCCCATCCTGACTCACGAAGGACCTAATGTGCTGGCACGTGGGTAGGGGGGAGCCATCCCCACTCCCTTTGATTCCTGGTTTACCCAAAATTTAAAACCAATTGCCTGGCAGTGGCGGCTTTCCTTTTGTCTGAAGAAGGGTGTTTGTGCCCAAAAGCTTGCAAAGAACAGTTTTTCCAACTGTGATAAAAGATATCACATCTACCCAAAGAACCTTGTCTGGCAATAGCGGCAGCATTTCTATTCAGGCAGCAGTGAGGAAGTCAATTGACTCCATGGCTCAGTATAAAGTACCTGATTCCTTTTAACTCTTCACGCCAGACATGTTAATGATCCTTTCCCATTTGTAAGAGTCTTGAAGTCCCTCTAATCAAGCTATTCTTTCTTCTGCAGTTCTGCTGTCTGTTAGTTGCTTCTGGTAATGTAGCTCCTCTTTCAGAGCCCTGCAGACTGTTTTTAACTCTAGCTAAAAACATTAATTTTCATAGACATTATAGACATTATAGACATTAGGGCTGGAAGGGACCTCAGAAGATCATCGAGTCCAGCCCCACATTTCCATTTAGGTATAACATTTCCATTTAGGTATGGAAATGTTAACACAGGTGAACATGAACTCAGGTATGGAAATAACTTTCATTGGATGCACTGTCAAGATGCTCAAGGCTAGATTTTGTCTTATGAAACTGCATTCTAATGAGTACAGGACTAATGAGCTAGTCCTAGTGTATCTGCTTAGTGTGTTGTGTTTTTTGTGCATAATATATGATATAGCAAATTAATGCACATTCCAATAAAGTCATATTTGTTTTTGCTTTGATCTTAAGCTAAATAATACAGCCCTAGGCCCCTAAAATATTAGTAACGTTTTAAATTTCTTTTTAGTTAGAGAAAAATGTGTTGTTCTGTATATGATGATGTGCCACTGTGTCTGCAACCCCCTTTCCAAATCCTAGCACCACCCATGCATGTGAGTTATACCATGATGCTGCACGTGGATTATGCACCAGGGAAGCTAAAGACCTGAGCAAAGTTACAGAAGACTTAGCGTCAAGGGTGGGAAGGTTGAGGGGAGAAATCCCAGTGGTGAGATTTATCCGGCTTGGATCTGCCTCCCCCTGGTGCAGGAGACCTCCTAATATTTAATGAAAACCTACAGAATAAGTTTGGATTTGGTGGGGTTTCTAGCTAGGCTTAGGCAGGCAAGGCTCTTTGGGTAGATGTGATCTCTTTTATTAGACCAACTGAGTAGTCAGGAAAAAGTTCTGGGCAAGCTTTGGGGCACAGTCACCCTTCTTCAGGCATTGGGAGTCTCGGCTGGTTTGAGACTCCAAGGAATGAGGGAAGCTAAAAGCGTGGCAAGGTGTCAGTGAAAATGTAAATAGGTAGAAATTAGAAAGACAAAAGGTCATAGGCTTAGAAAGTATATGTCGCTGTTGAGGTTAGCTTCTTTTTTTTCATGTTGTGAAGTTTCCATTTCAGATGGCAAATGTTGTTATCTTCCATGTTGCTGGGTTTTTGGTTGTAGCCATGTTGGTCTAAACACATAGGGAGGCAAGGTTCTTTGGGTAGATGTGATATCTTTTTATTAGACCAACTGAGCAGTTGGAAAAAAGTTCTTGCTAACCTCAATTGGACCAACAGCATGGTTGAAATTGTTTTAGAGAAGCTTTTGGGTACCACAGTCCCTTTCCTTAGGTCTCTGAGGGAGGGTACTGTGGTACCTGAAAATTTGTTTGAGTGGGCATGTGTACACAAGCATTAATGCCCTGCAATTACAGCACATTAAGTTTAGTACCTGTAATAACAGATACTAACTTAATATGCTGTAATCGGCACTACTGCACAGTAGTGCCAGTGCACGTCTTTTAGGTGACACTAATGCTCAGTAGACTAATTCTACTGCGCATTAGCACGACTTTTGCCGTGACACACTAATTTGCAATAGAATTAGTCTACTGCACTTCTAGCGTCTCATGCAGATGTGCCCACTGTATCCTAACCATGCAGTCAGTCAATAAAACATAGCACTCTCAAAAAAACTTTCTTCTTTCTTCCTGGACCATCACGGCTTCAGCATCACTTCAGCACTTGCTTCACACACTAGTAGGAAGGTGTTTCAAGCCAGTAGCAATGAAGATGGTTTAAGAACCTATTAAGTCCAACCTAGAACTGAAAAAATCTCTCTTGCTGTGTAAAAGAAAACTATATTTCAGTATTTGTTAGCATCTTAATGGACCTGCACTTGGAGGCAAGGTAAAGAACTGAGCAAGGGTACTTCAAAGAAAATGTTCTCAAGAGTGACAGGTGTTAAAATGGGGAAGTGTCCCCAGGGGAAAAGCAGGGGGCCACCATCACTCTGGACATTTAACAGCGTGCCGCAAAGAGAAGTTAGGAAGGGCTTTTTTCAAATTGCCTGATACGTGGGTTTTTTTAATAACAAAAGACAGGAAAGTTTAATTTTTTCTCTGTTGGTTTTTCATGTTTAAATCATTTGGTGATGATTAATTAATAGAAAATGTTATTATTTTTGTCAAGTCTTCTCTCTCACTTTGCCAAAGGTTTCCTGAGATGTTTTCTGGGAGGACAGAGAGGAGAACAAAGCAGTGGTTAGATGCCTTTAAGCAAAGTCTCTGTTTTGTGCTCTACATTTTAAGCAACTGAGCTGAATTTAAAGCTATTCTTGTTCCCAGTTCGGGGAGCTTTAGGAGGCAAGGGGCAGCAGGGAAGAGTCTGTGGCAGTTGAAAGGCCATTGGAGTCGGGTGGGTTGCAGAGACAGGGTGTCGTCTAGGGCTGTCGTGTTGGAGGCAGATGGCAGGGAGCCTCGGCATGTGGTAGTGCCCTTAGTGCCTCAGCAGCCGACAAGCCTGTCACACACGCATGAGCTGCGGTGCACCTGGCGTGCTAGCAGGGCTTCAGTGAAGACACAGACTGTTCCCAGAGCATTGCAGGGACTCCATGGGGGAGGCTTAGTAATCACACTGGCTTGCAGAACTGTTTGTTTTCCCTTAAAAAAAAATGTTTGCCCAAGTGTTTCCCCATGGGAGACGGAAGCCTGGCACATTGCTAGCAAAACACAGTCTGACATTTATTCATCGTTAAACATTAAAATAGTTCTCTACATGCTGCCTTGCTTCCTGCTCCAGTCCCAAAGCCACACGCAAGTGCTTCCCTATCCCTGCTTCTTCTCGGGACAAGCCAGCAGCATGTGGGAACTGTCAGGCTCTCGTCAGGGGGATGGTGGGGAAGGGAACAGGGCGCAGCCCTCCCCACTGATCCTCCTCCAGGATCAAGCAGCCCTGGGCACGGGCATTTCCTCTTCTTCCACATCTGTGGGAGAGGCAGAAAGGACAGTAGGTTGCTCTGGGCCGGACTGCTGTATGATGATGAGGAGGCAGCTATAACGCATCCACGTTAGCACGTACCGTTGGCCGCATGCAGATAGGCCACACATCTGGTCCGCTCTGACCCTGCCCTCACCACTGTCAAACTCTGGGAACCTGACAATTGTGGAGTGGCGGCAAAGCTGAGAACACCATTTACAGCTGGGAACCAGACTCATCTCCTGTTGATGATATATCATTGAAATATGGCACGTTGAATAGTCTGGATGTAAGGTTGTAACCATGTGTATAGGAATAAAGGAACTGTTATACCTAGGCACAGACCTTTCTGACACCAGCTTGTATCTGTCTTTAGCAGAGATTACTTTTCAGTTCCTATCAGTTAGAGGTTGATGTGTGCTCTGAACCAGGCATGTATAGATTCAGTGGGCTCAGAAACATATCCAGCAGCCAGGGTTAGGATATTTTGTCAGCTACACATAAATCTTAATCCATGAGGCAAGGATTTTTTGTGTTATCTTTAACTGGACCAACTGTATAGTTGGAAGAGTTGTTGGCCAAGCCTTCCTCAGATCACTGATACCTGAAAGCTGGGTCAGCTTCATAAGGACAGCTAGAGAGTGCTTCAGGCAATAGCTAGTCCATGGGTTGCTACAGTCCAGATGGAGTCCCTTTATATTGCACAGAGCATTGTGCATGAAATAGTTTCATAGTTTCTAGGGTCGGAAGGGGCCTGAACAGATCATCAAGTCTGACCCCCTGCCCTGGGCAGGAACGAGTGCTGGGATCATAATACCCTAGCCAGCTATTTATCCAACCTCCTCTTGAGGACCCCCAAGATAGGGGAGAGCACCACCTCCCTTGGGAGCCCATTCCAGAGCCTGGCAGCCCTAACCATAAAGTAATTTCTCCTGATAAATGTGATGGCAGCAGCTGAGATCCACAGCAAAGAGTATGCGATTCAAAGCATCACCTACACAGCAAAGAGAGCAGGGAGCCTGGAGGGACTAAGACCCCCTGCACCCTTGAATTTCTAGTCAAAGTCAAAGACCCTAACAGCAGCATGGAAACAGTGGAAGGAAGAACTGACCTCATACACACAGCTGACCATGGCAACGAAGGATGAGAAAATGGAAGTAGACCTTCTCCATTACCTCATTGGGATAAAGAGGCTCCATTTGGACCGTAGCAACTTGGATCATTATTTAAGTATACTATAGTCAGTGATGCTGCTTGCAGCCACCTTTGTCGGCACCCTGATTGTATCACGACAGGATCGCCTGTGCGTAACCAGCAGCCCTTGCTGCTTCCCTTCCCCTGTAGACCAGCTGTCCTCATCCCGTATAGTTGTCCATACCTAGCAGTCTAAGGAATTATATCCTTTTTATTCATCTTCTTTCAAAAGCAAAAAGTCTAAATCTTTTCAAGTCCTGTTCATACAAAGGAAAATTTAGCCCTCTGAGCAGTTTCACCAGTTGTTTGTCCTTCTGTGTCTAAGACAGGGTGACCAGAGCAAATAAAATATTCCAAACAGCGGTGTTTGTTAATTCGTGGAACGGCATGAGTGTTTCATAAATAGCATTTTCTATCTCACGTTGTTCTTTATACCTTCTAATATTTTGCTCCTTGGTTTATAATATGACTGCTAAGCTACATGTTGAAACGTTAGCGAGCTTATTCACTGAGATGGATAGGTTGAGTCTTTTTTATGGGGTTACAGTAAGGTTTCTGGGTAGCTCAGCTTATTTCCCTTGATGTCCATTGTGTTGGATTTACCAATATGGAGTTGTGTCCCCCTGGTCTGCTTCTCATTCCCCATTTAGTCCCATGAAAACCTTCACGGCCTCTAGTGCTGGGTCCTCTACAAAGTGTGCTGCCTCATTCATAAGTAGATTAACTAGCACCAGTCTAGTCTTTTTGGCACTGACATGGTACTGGGTTCCTTCCAGCAATTCACTTGCTGCATAGTTAAGACTTTATGCTTTTTCTCCTTTCCCTCTCAGCCATGGTAGAGCTGGATGGTGATGACATCAGAATCTCATCCCGGGGGAAGCTCGCTGAGCGAGACATTGTCCAGGTAATCACAAAAATTTGTACTAGCTCAGCTGTTTTTTAGCCTGTTCCTAATTCATATGGATCCAAACTTAGTGGAACAAAAACATTTCAGATTCCTCCATGCCTCTCCTACCTGCCCACTGTGTAGGTTGTTAGAGGAGCTGGCTTCCATCAGGGCACTGGGAATTTTCCTACCTCCAGTGCTGTTCAAGATCAGACAACATAGCAGCACATCTGGGAAGCTGGTAGTATACCTATGGGTTTCACACACTTGGATAATACTGTATATTAGATAACTGGGGAAGAATTTAAGTACAGAGACTCAAGAGGGCTGGAAGTATTATCAGCTACAAAAAATTAAGTGTTTCGACAATCCCCTTGGAGAAGAAAGGGCCCTCATTCCTATTCCAGGACCCACTGTCCTTTCCACAGCATTTCTGTTGCAGAAGCAATCCTTCCTGCTTTGCCTCCTCAGGGCCTTTCTATTCCCAAACCACCCCATCTAGACATTGCTAGTGGCTTGTCCCCATTGCTCCGTAGCCATTGCAGCCGCTAGGATACTATATGATACTGTACATATGAAGCCTCCTTGTTCGGGCGGGGAGGCTGTCTGACTGCCCTGAAGCTGATGTTCCACTAATGGTCTGATCTCTTGTTTAGAGCGGTATGCCTCACCTCATGTATAAAACTACACTTTCCCGGATGTCTCTCACATGCTTTCCTTCTTTCCCAGTTTGTTCCATTCCGCGATTACATTGACCGCACAGGAAACCATGTCCTAAGCATGGCCCGGCTGGCTAAGGACGTCCTGGCTGAGATTCCAGACCAGTTCATTTCCTATATGAAGGGACGTGGCATCAAGCCCAACCCGGCTCCTCCTCCATACACCCCCACTGGCCATACCCTCCAGACACAGATCTGATCGCCAAGAAGCATTTTTCAAACAACTAGAAAGAATCCCAGGCATTTTGTTGTGTCAGCTGTTGACTGCCTCTAGCTGTATGCCAAGGCATCCAGAGCTTTCACTGAGGTTCCTCTGTGTACTTTTTTCTCTGGACTTGGCTTCGGGACAGCCAGTCGGTAAAGCCAGTTGTGCTGTAATGCTGACACATTAGCGTGCATCATTGGAAGGATTTGTAGGACTGGAGACGCAAGCAACAGGAGGGAATTTATTTTAAAAAGACAACCGACAGGCTTCCTTTCCAGTTTGGAAGGGTGATGGAAGGGAGAGGCAAGAAGTGAGATCTGAGAGCTGTCCTCCCCAGGGCCCTACTTCACCTGTTTTCTTTTGGGCTCTCAGCAGACCAGCTATCCTCAAAAATCGCGGTAGTCTCTCTATGCCTCTCCTTAAATTATTCTAGTATTTTATAGCCCATGCACAATCCACCTGCCTCCCCCGTTCTGCTGACAGTCCTCATCCTCTTGCTGTTTGCTGACTTGACTTATCTATATCAACTTGGCAGACTTTTGTTGGTTCCAGACATCAGGTAATGTTGTGGGTTTTTTCTCTGCCGCTCTGCCTGGATACTTTTTCTGACTTGCTAATATCTTCTCATCTTCTATAAATCAGCTTTGGCAAGGCCTATATGAGTTTGGGAGATTTGGGGCTTTCCTTGGTTGGTTGGGTTTGTTTTTTTTAAAATTCATGGTTTAGGTTGAGCTTTTCCCCCTTGATACCCACATCACTTCTTTTTTAGGCTACATTCGGTATTTGCAAAGTCCTGGTTTCTGTCTGTGGAGTTGGGAACCTTTTGCCAAAAGGATGTTACACGTCAGTGTGTCACAACAGTGCTCTGCTACAAGGGGGGATCAGGATGGGGTGTGATTTTGAGCACTGTTACACAGGCGATTTCATGGCCGATCCAAGTGCTGTCTGAAGCACCAAAATGAAAGGTGAACTTCATCCCTTACAGTAGGCTGGAGCTCTTGACTACACTGTATATATGCATTTAAGCATGGAGAATTCTGCTCCTCAGTATTAAGTGGAAATATGTCCCTGTGCTATTATTCCCACTTTGGCAGTGGTACTCCTGTAGTGTTTGAATGACCCTCCATCCTTTTTATACAGAATATTGCAAGGTGATTCACCACTGCAGAAAACTTTAACAAGGCTACTGAGCAAAGAGGGTGCAGTTAGCCCTTTGACATGAAACGAAATCTCAACACTTCCCTAGGCTTTCTCTCCCACTATGTCTCTTGGGCAGCTTTTTCAGAATAAATTTGGTCATATGTTTATCTCCTCTGGTGATTCCAGAATTATAACACACGCTATGTCTTCTTGAAAGAAGATAAAAGGGACAGATGAACCCTAGCTAAGTAAACTCCATAGGCACCTTAAAGTCTCTATTCACAGACTTTGGTCCTTGTTTTTGAATATCTCAGTAATTGGCTAGATAATTACCATGAATGCATACCATATGGATTACATGCTACTTAGCAATGGTCAATCTGGATCATAGTCCTAGGTGCTATGTTTTAGAAGAATTCTCCAGTGAGACAAGTAGAGATTTCACAAGACAAGCAGATAGGAGGGGTAGGAGAATCTAGCTCTGAATAAAGGCAGATGCAACCCAGCAAACCTGTATTAGTACTCAGGGTTCAGCAAACCATATGATCCCCAGGCAGCCTATCACACATCACAATCTATCCTCATAATAAGATTTTTTTAAAAGATAGGATCCAATCCATGCTTGTATCTGCATCATACTCAAATGAGAACTAGGGAGCCATCCGTAGATCAGTGGGTTCGTTTAATATTGACCCGCCTGTCACCATGAACCTTTAGATCCTAAACAGTAAGGCACTGGGAGAGATTAAGCCAACTCTAATTTTATCTTCCTTTCACACCAGTTTAACTCCACTGGAGTTAGTCCTAATTTATACTACTAGAAGTGGCCTTTGCATTCTTGACTCATGACAGCAGTTGCACAACAGTTTCATTGATGGATTTACTGCTGCTGCCTGGTTTTTAGATTTTGCAAGAGCCAGGCTGCCTAAAGATGTCTTAAATTCCTTCAAAATTGTGTGTGGCTTTCCTGGCAATTGGGAACCGGCTGAGCCAGCAAGCGGCTCTATCACTATAGGAGCTCAGGGCACCCACTAAGTTACCAGCGTAATGGAGGGCATCATGCTCTATGAACTTACTGGGCTCCATCATCCCAAAAAGAGAGGGCGGTCATAATTATGTCACCTTTCTACACCTATCCACAATCCCCTTTGCATTCTCAGCGTACCAGTTAACTTTGCTCACTCAAGATAAGAACCCCAAAGAGCAGTTAGTGGCTGGTGTGCGTCTCTGCTGCCTACTTCTTTATGAGCAGGGATAGTGGGCAATACTCAGTCATGCTGCTCTGTACTTGTTTCTGTCTGTGTATTGATATTGGGTGCCATATGCCCTTGCAGTTCCATGCCCAGTTCTGTACAAGTGTAGCTATGGGGTGATGCATGCCTGTGCAGTCCTGTACCCAGTTCTGTAAGTGTACAAACAAGGTGGTGCATGTCCATGCTGTACTCCCACCCTGCTCTGTATGAGTGTGGATAGCAGATGATGTATATGAGGTGTGGATATAGGGCCATGCATGTCCAGTTCTGTAAAACCACAGATGTTGGGCTGCCTTTTAAGCCCGATGCCCATAAGCATGGATGTCTGGTATTGCTGAAAAGAACCTGAGTTCTCCAGGATGGATTGTGTGAATTTCCAGGGGGAAAGGGGCACTGTACAGTCTGCTCCCCAAATCCGATTCTTCTTTATCAGCTACAGAAGGTTTTCTCTGACTTCTGAGAATTTGCTGCCACCCAGCATGTTCTTGGGGCTGCTCTGTTCCTTTCTCTCTTTCCCAGCCCCTCATTCACTTTATTTTTTATTTGCATGGGTGGTGACCTTTATATACTTTACACTATTGTATTTTGTGTCAAATGTCTGATGTGATCTGGTTTGTATTGGATTGCCTTAAACTGGAATAAACTATTCTTTTTACTACAGCACTGAGACAGCTTTGACTTCTTGTTCACTGAGGCCTTTGAAAAGGTCACACACTCCGATAAAATAATGTCTCTGTCACAAGTAAGATTATATCTTGATTGACTGTGATGATCAGAAAGAAAGAAACTGGTGCCAGTACTGAACTTTGGTGAGGTGTAGCTATTTCTCTTAAGAAAATGGTTCATCCCTAAGGATTATGAACTTTAGGAGTTAACTAAGCATTGGATGGTTTTTGCAGAAGTGTTTGCTTTCTCTCTGGATCTTTCTATTCCCAGTCTTATGCTTTATTCTAAGTCAGTGGTTTTCAGCCTGTGGTCCACCGACTATATCTAAGATGGCTATGATCAATCAAAGTATGTGAATGCCCACACATACAATTCAAAGGGGTCTGCACCTCCATTTGAAATTGTTTAGGGGTCTGCAAATGAAAAAAGGTTGAAAACCACTGTTCTAAGTAATTTCTCTTCTGTTCTGTTTATCTTTTCAAGAACCTTAAATCAGTGGCACATGCAGCCTCCGGTATTTCACTTTAGCCAGTGCTGTCAAATTCTCCTTTGCCCCTTTGGTAGTCTCTGAATGTTGGTGTATTTTACACGGATGCCTGAACAGCCAAGACATGATCATTCCCTGGGTCCTCTCCTACTCTTTTCTTTTGGACTGAAAGTTTAGGAGACCTGTGCTTTCTCTGTGTGCCCTTGCATATTTTCAGATACAAACCCCTGCATCAGGTGAGAAATTGGGGTAAAGCAGGGACCTGTAGGTTTTAACAGCCTTCCCTGATCAAATACAGTACTTGCCCAGAAGCTTTATTTTCAGTACCAGGGATGGCACTGGATGTCTCTGGTATGTTAGAAGTAACACCGTTCTTTTGGTTTTTGGCCTGAATTTAATCAGCTCTGCAGTAAGTATATTGTAGGAGACTCAGTACTGCCCCCCTAAACATTTCAGCATTATCTTCTAGTTCAGTGGTACAGGTAAGACGCAGTTTAAACCTGTGTAGATGGCAAAGACCTATTGGGCCTCCCAAGCACCAACACCAAATTTAATGAAATGCCCACTGAACCCGAGTGTGTTATGCTTGGGCAGGGGCTTTCTGATGAGGGGGCCTTACCCCAGGAGTAGTCAGATCGGCAAGTCGTTCACAGTAAAGCTGACTCTACACATGGTTTGTGCCTGCATACCCATGGTGAGCATGCAGTAACCTGGGCAGCTGTCCCAACCCCATGGCTTTCTATCTGTAACCATGCCAGCCCACTTATTTTTTCCTGTGCATAAAGGATCTCTCAGCTAAGCCTGCATCTGTCCTCCTGCCTCACAGCTTTCAATCAGGATAAACTAGAGCAATGTCCCATGTGCTGCAAAAGTAAGTGTGACGAAGCCCATCCAAAGTATAGGGAAAATGAAAGTAAGTATTAAAATATGTACTTAGATGAAGCACAGTTTCATGAACGGCTATAGAGCTCTTCCCATCTCTACATTTTCAATGTCCAGAGAGGCTTCTCTAGAGATTGATAAGTATTGTCCAACCCAGAAACCAAAAAAAGGGCTCACCCCACACTTTCTCTCTAAAGGAACATCACTGCTTTCCGACACTGGGTGCATCTACATGTGCAATTAATGTGAAGCAATAAACTCTGGCACATGTGTTTATGCTTCTGGGATCACAGCACATTGAGCCAGGTAGGAGCAGCCCTGGCTGGTAGGGGGTCCTGGTGAGTCAGCCTGCCAGCCGGGGCTGCGCTGACCCAGCTCAACATGTTGTGGAGGGGCTGGCTGGGGCATGAGGGTGCTCCAGTGCAGGGCTAACCAGCATGAAGCCCTGCACTGAAGCACCCTCATGCCCCAGCCATCTGTGTCAGCATCTACATGTGCATTGCTGTGCAGTAAATAACTCCACCATAGGATAGTACTTGTATTTACAGCTACTAACCTATGGCAGAATTCATTGGTTTACTGTGGCCTAATATGGCCATGTGTGCAGATGTGTAGACTTTACTGGGCAGCTAATTAGGCAGCTCTGCAGCAAACATCTCATGTAAATGCGCCCACTGAGTACACAGGATTCATACAGCTTTTCTGCACGTGTAATCAGGCTTAGATGGCTTTCCCCCTTCACAGTGTCTGCAAGTGCTCACATCCTTAAAAAAATAGCTGGAATATGAATTGTCTGCTTTGTAAAGAGTGTTTCCTAAGAGCCAGTCAATATACCTCGGTTCCAGTAAGAAATGAAACCGGTCGGAAACATGTAGGAAAGATACAGCACAGAGAGCTGTCGACGCTTTCCAGAGACTGCCTTAAGTACTTGAAAATATCACTTAGACATTAAAAATGGCCCCTGAATCTCCTGTGAGACCTAAGGGGTCCAAACCCCCAAATTAAAAGTGGGCACAGTCCCAAGGCTTATGGAAGCAGCTCCAAGACAGCCTGATGCAGTTTCAAAGCTCTGGGCTGCTAAGTAGCATGATGGGGATTTAGTGAAAGGCCCCCTTTTATCCCGCAGCCTCTCAAGTAATCCTTCAAGCTATGAATCCAAAAAAAAATGCCTCCTTACCCTGCCCCAACTGAGTATGCCCACCAGCGAATGTTACCAGCTTCTGTCGACAGGAGCTTTGAATATGTTTGGCTCGCCATCTCTTGCATGAGCAATGGCATCCTGGCCCGGTAGGTGCTCGAGTTCTGATGCCTTAGTTTTGCTGAGTTCTCACGTTGATCCCATCACAAACGGTTATTCTTAGTAACTTTGCAAGCCCTCCTTGATTAAAATCCAGCCTCCAGGTGGAAATAATTCCCTTTTGCCTGTAAAATCTCATTTAAGCTCTCAAATAAGCAGATGGCCTCTGTTTATTTCTCCGGGGCGCTGTGTCTTCATTGCACGTTAGGGGGTTAGTGGTTTTGTCTCTTTCCATGAGCTAGCTAACAGGCATGACGAGAACGGGGAGGAAAATAACTTACTGGCATTAGTACAAACAGTGATCCCCCACATGGGGCTTTCCTTTACCTTCCTGCTTGAAATCACAGAACATTGGTCACACAAGTAATAAATAATATTTAGCGGTAAGGTAGCACGAGAGCCTTGGAGGCTGTAGCCACTGATGTTGCTTTGAATCGGCTTCAGTTAATCCTCTCTTAACTGCAGGGCTTGAGGCTCTTGAGGCTCCCACAAAAGTTATTCCAGCATTAGGCAGACACTGCTCCAAGAGTAGTGACTCCATTTTGGAAGCATGGACATTTTTTCTGAAAAACACAATTTTCTATTCTAGAACAGAGATTTCACACCGGCTCCTATTTCACAGTTCCTGTAAGCCAGGGCAGGCTAGCCCCCCACAACTTCCCCTGGCACAGGCTGTCCATCTCAAGGCCACTTTGGGGGATAAGCCTGTCCTGGTTTACAAGCGGTGCCCCCAACCTTGCATGACATCTCTCAAGCCACCGGCTACCTAACTCCTGGTGTCACCAAGGCACCAGCCTTGCAGCGGACCCAGATGCCAGCTCTATCCCCTCATCAACACAGATCACACTGTCACAGCCAGGGTTCATTTACCTGTTCCTCTCCCAAGTTCATACGTGCTACCCCCTGATTACAGCATCCCCCTGCTGCCTGTGCTGGACAGATAGGGAAATCCGTATATGAAATGGGCATGGATTTGACAGCAAGTCCAGAAAGACATATAGCCTGTGGCAGAACATGTCTGCCACCCTGCACGGTCTGTCATGGACTCAGAGTAGCTGTTGTTAAACAACCCTTTACAAAACCCAGCTTGAATGCTGAACTACAACACAAGAAATCATTCACAGACTGGATTGTGTTAAGTGTGGTCTCAACAGAGATTAGAGAGTCTTACCTCATTATCTGGACTAGCTTTTATAACCCCTCAATGGGTTAATTCCTTTGATCTCTTCAAATAACCTTTACCTCTCAGCAGTTCCCCCACCATTCCTCCCCCTTTTTCTTATCCTTTGTATTTAAGTGACCTTATTCCTTTCTATTTAGCAGCCCTACTCTCGACAAACCCATTCATACCATCTGAAGAAGTGGCTGTAACCTGCAAAAGCTTGTACCTCTCTGAGCAAGTTAGTCTATCAGGTGCCACCCTCCTCTGCCTCCTGCCTCACTTCAGATTAACGCAGCTAACTAGCTACCTCCCTACCATCTCTATGGATAACAAGGACAACAGCTTTTAATAATTCATGTAGCATGTCCGAAGTGGCCTCTGCCCTGGTGGCTCTGGGAACAGCCAGGGGTATGAAGACTTGGGTATGGTGTTATCTGGCTCTTTTTCCCAAGGGGGGAGGAAAAGGTCACATACCTGGGATCAAATGTTAAAAGAAGCCATATTTATTTAATGCATCCTTAAATCATAGATAAGATGTTTTGCAAGAGTAAAAGTAGAGAAAAACCTCACACTGCCTTGGCAGCCGGACTGGCTACATGGGATGAGTCCATTGTGCGCACAGCTGCCCAGGCTGGCTCAAAGGCACTGGTCGGTGGGCCCAGAGCCTGGCAGCTGCCCACTACAGGGTCTTGTGTGCCCAGAGCCACTGCTGCCTGCACAGTGTTTGCTCATCCACCATGCAGGGGGCCATGGGGACAAGCCTGGCAAGGGCTGCTTCTCCCTTCCACTTCCAGGCACACCCCAGCTGGGGTCCCTGCAGGCCCAGGTGGGGATTTAAACCCCTCCCCAACCACACTCAGTAGCTTGCCAGGGCCTGACCCCCACCCCGAAGGCTGCTGAAGAAGTGAAGGGAAGCCTGCTGTAGCGCCTCCCCTGCTTCTAGCCTGAGCCACTGTAGGCATGTGGCTGCATTTCTGTGATCAAAAGTAAATGTCTATTCACTTGCAAATCAGTTCAGTCTACGCAGGTTAGACTAACTTGCGATGATTGAATCAATTCAGGCTCAGGCTTTTTGGATGTCTGTAATTAGCCCAGATTTTAGGAAAGGACTTGCAGTGAGCAGGTATTCATCAATCATCAGTCTTTCTATTTGAATACCT